GCCGCCACCTCTCCCTGCGGGCCTTGGCGCTGCCCCGGCCCCTTCCGAGCGGGCTGCGCCGGCAGCGTCCAGCCGCGCTGCCTCTTGGCATTCCCCCGCACTTTTATAAATCCGGAAATAAAATACTACATACGAACAGGACAGAGCAGGCTACAGGGCAGCGTGAGGCCCTGTGCGTGATTATTTTAGCATAATCAAGTATCAGTATGGAAAGTGTCAGACTTGCATTTCTTCCTAAACCGACTTGTGGGTGCTGGGCCTGGCAGGCAACTTTTGGGTGGTTTTTTGTTTTTTTTTTTTTGCTATTTTGAGCACAGACATCCAGTCGTTCCCCCTCCACGTTTCTGTTCCCCCAGACCCTCCTTCCCACTTCCAGTTCCCCGGCAGTTTCAGAAGCTACATGAAGTCGACGGCATCCAAGATGTTTTCCAAACTTTTTCTCGCTCCCAGTTAAAAAGTGCACATGCCACATCATTCCAGTCTGTCTGTGGTGGAGCTGCAAAGAGGTGTGCTGTCGGGGCTGCCTTTCGCATTTTTAAAGTGTGATACTCTTGCTGTACATGAGACAGAAATGATTCGGAAAGTGTGCAGGAGCGGTATGTCACATTTTATTTGTGTTCTTTTAAAATTTCTTCATAAAAGGGTACAGTTTTTAGGCTGAGTATAACATTCAGTATTTTCTAAGTATTTAACGAAAGATACCTGCCAGTACGCAACTACAGTCTAAGGGGATATAGAGTCTCGCATGACACTGATTATATTTTCCAGGTGTTCACCGTTGAAGAAATGATGCCCCATGTCCAACACATGAAAGGAGGTCACAGTAAAAACCTTTTTCTTAAAGACAAAAAGAAGAAAGGGTTCTGGCTGGTGACTGTTCTGCACAACAGGCAAATCAATTTAAATGATCTTGCTAAAAAACTGGGCGTTGGAAGTGGAAACCTAAGATTTGCTGATGAAAATGCCATGCTGGAAAAGCTAAAAGTGGGCCAGGGCTGCGCGACACCACTGGCGCTCTTCTGTGACCAGGGAGAGGTGAGGTTTGTGCTGGATGCTGGCTTTCTGGAAGGGGGCCACGAAAAGGTGTATTTTCATCCAATGACAAACTCTGCAACCATGGGCTTAAGCCCCGACGACTTTCTGAAGTTTGTGAGATCGACAGGCCATGATCCCATCGTCATACATTTTGATGAAGACATCAAGTAGATGAAGTTCACATTTCTCTTTACTAGGCATAGATTTTGTACAGCAAAACCGGCAAAAAGTCTTGTTACAAATAAAATTTGAAAAAACAGGCTTATTCCTTCTTTATTTTTTCAGCTGTGTAAGTTTACAGTGTGTAACCTGGTGAGAAAAAAGTACTGTCTTCGGGTTATTAAAAGTTTAACAGAATATTCTTAAAAAGACAAAACATGTTTGCAAACTACCACTAAGACCACTAAGAAACCAGTAAGTAGAGAAGGCGTTATTTCAATAATGTTACACCGTTTGTTAATATAATGGGTAAAACCGGAAATCTGTGTGTGTGGTACTGGCCTTGAAGGTTTAAACTTAAAACATTATCATTAGGAAATAACAAATAAAAGTTCTAAAATACTTGTCAATACACACAGGACAGAGAAGTCTAAATCGTGTACCTGTACCCATTTATCCCCTCCTACATGTTGCTTTTTTATTTTTACCTAGAAAAAACCAACTTAGCTACACTACAGAAACGCATTTGATTGTCTACATTTTTAGTTGCATTTTCACTTTCACCGTATCCTCCCCTTGGGAGATAATCACTGAGTCTTCTGGGAGTTCCCAGATGACATGGCTACTAACCGCCCCACGATCTGTCTTAGATCCGTGCCTCGCCTGTTTCTAGCACCAGCACAGGAGGAGCCGTCTGACAGCAGGCGGGGTGGGGTGTGAACCCCACTACCAG